GCCACCTTGTGTTGCCTGATGACGTGTAAATTGTTCTCCCATATTGTTTTGAGTGGTATTTGGAAGGCTCGGTGAGGCCGCCGGAGCGGTGGAGAGGGAGCTCCAACTTCTTCGCCAAGAGGAAGAAGACAGCAAGGTGGACTTAGCCAGGCAGCAGCAGGAGCAAAAGGAGAAGGCAAGGATCCGGCGTGAGGCGGATCGTGCTGCGGTCAAGGCTAAGATTGGCTCTTTTAGCTTGCTGAAATTCCTGTAATGCTCATGCTGTCTAGGTTCTCTCTTTTTTTTTTTGTTAAACTTAGTTGGTGCCTCGGGCATCACAACTAAACTGAAAACTTATGTAAATTGTGGCCCGTAATGGCCTTTAGCTTGTTTTGCCTATCCTTGCTTTGCATGCACAGTTTTCTCTTTCTTTGTCTGCGCTGTTTGGCATTTGAGTTGAACTTGGCGAGCCTCTGACCATTCTGTTTTGGACTTAGTCATTTTTGGCTCTTGTTTTGCTCTCTGTTGCTCACAACGTGGGATCGGGTTAACTCCGATCTTCGCGTTGTAGCTCAAATGGGATTGAGAGAGCAACACTTAGCTTGCAGCAAAGAACAATCGTTCGCTCCTGCGGCCAACTGAGGAACTCAGCTTCGACTCGCCTCCCGATGAGTTGTTGTCTGGGGAACCGACAGACAGGTCGTCTGCCGAACCGCCTTCGACAAATGTCGTCATTTGGGAATGTGACAATTGATTGTGGTAGGAGCCATCGCATGGTAGACTCTACCCATCAGTTATCCTAAAGCAATGTAAGAATATCTGGAATAGGTCAAATAGTTCAGGGACGTAGGAGTGTGACTATTGACAGGAGTAATAGCGCGTCGCGTGGTAGGCTATTGCTTAGGCTGTGCTATTCATAGGAATAACGGCGCCAATCATCAGAGGTGATCATTAACTTGATGGGGTCTTGTCGCGATTGGAGCAACTGTGAGGGCCTACCATTCTTCCGAAGAAGATTGGCAAGTGAATTGTGTCAGAGGTTTAATGTGAATTGTGTCAGAGGTTTAATGTGAATGTGAACGGCGCCAATCTTGGTGAGTGATTTTGGCTCTGGTCCTAACTATCTGAAGGTTTGACCAAATGGGCGTTTGATGTCGCCCGCCTGAGATGCTAATCTCGCCTGTTTTGAGAGATTCGTCAAGACAGGGTGTTTAGCTGGTAAAGTAGATTTCGCCTAGA